CACACCCACCACCACCACAACACCCACCACCACCACCACCACACCCACCACCACCACCACCACACCCACCACCACCTATACTACTTAACAATTCATTATTACTAAAGATCTTGACTTTTTTGTATGTCTAAACAATTTGACCATTGCATGTTTGAAAGATCTTAACCACTGTGTATTTTTAAAAAGTCTAAACCATTTCTAAAAATTGTAAACTGTTGCGTAATCTTGTGTATTTGTAAAGAATTCGACCATTGCTTATTTTTAAAATCTTGACTATTGCGTATTTTTTCTTTAAGATTTAGAAACCTTTTGTAAAATGTGTAAACCACAGCGCACTACAACGATCTTCACTGTGTATTTCTCCCACTTTTTATCACTGGTTATTTGTGGGGTCGTGTAAGGTTCCAGGGGCCTCTGTGCCCCGTCGTAGTTCCCGCTGCTTGTTGACCAAAGATTGGCTCGCTGTTTCCTCCACAACGACGGCCTCTCCCTCTCTATGCAAGACGCTTCAGCAACTCTCTTTCATTCCTTCCATACCCATTCGAGTGAATGGTTTACCACCATCTTTCCATGGGTGTACCATCTTACCACGTTGTTACCTGTGCAACATTTGCCATGGGTGAACCATCTACCACGTTGTTACCTGTGCAACATTTGCCATGGGTGAACCATCATCATACAGTGGGCGTACCATCATATGGTTGGTTTACCTTCTTACAGTGGGCGTACCATCATATGGTTGGTTTACCTTCTTACAGTGGGCGTACCATCATATGGTTGGTTTACCTTCTTACAGTGGGCGTACCATCATATGGTTGGTTTACCTTCTTAAAGTGGCCGTTCTATCTCACTCTGTTGTTGCCTAGTGAACATTAGCGAAGGGGGTAGCACTGTTTGGTACCATCTATCCACGTATTTGCCAGATTATCCGTGGATTTACCATCATATGATGGGTATACCATCTTAGGGTGGGTGTATGACCTTACCAGATGTCTGCCAGATGTACAATGGGTGTACCAGTGTACCATGGACATACCATCATACCATGTTGTTTACGCGGCTGCGTGAGGCACTAACCACGTATGTATGTCCCTCACGAGCACATTGCCTTGCTGTAAATCGTTTTCTTGTATCAGAAACTCCGTCCACAGAACAAGCTGCAACTTTTTCTACTCTCGTTTTTTTACCCCGGCTGCACAAATACTGGATTCCATTTTTGGGTGGAAATTTTGCATGTTTTTGATTTTTCTCAACATGTTTTTGTATTGTTCGTACCTTCCAATATACCAATATTGTAGCCAACACTGCATGGTAGCTTGTACCGAAGTTTTCTCATGGGCTGCAGTTTGTGGGCTCCCATTGAGTCAAGTATTATAGTCCAAGGATATTTGGTTTACTTTTTGTCAAACCAATTTTTGTTTACCATTTTCTACTGATGTGATTTTTTCTCTTGCTCTGTTGCATGCTGAGTTCTTCTTTCTGTACAGTCTGTCTCTTTGGTCTGTGACTTTGGAGTCCTCAAGTTTTCTGTAACCTTTTTTTTACCTTTTCTTATCCTTCTTAAATGTATTTTTTGTATAGATAGAGATGTCTGGGGTGTTAGCCAAGTGGAAGGGAAGTCTCAGAGTTTGAGAAACTTTGTGTTTTGGAGGAAGGAAAGAGAAGAAATCTCCAAAGTCCTCGCTACTGTTCCGTCCACGTCCAGCATTGTTTGGTTATGTTTAGCGGGGAACTTGATGAGGCTATTTATAGACTGGCAGTTTTACTTTTGTTTTCTGGAACCAAAGAGCAGGTTTCTTTTTGTCAAGTATTTCTCAGAGCAAGAATTGAAACGCATTTTTTTAGGTAAAAGATTTTTTGTTACATTTTTGTAGTCACAATTTGCGTTTTATATATATATATATATTTCTCAGCTCTTATATAATGGAAGCTGAGTTCAGTTAATTCTTACATTTTTTTATATTTGATAGGAATTCAATCAGCATTATAGCAATTGTGATATCTCCCTTCTGGGGTCCAGAATTTGTTTTCTTGCACTAACAAGGATAGTTTGTTGTACGTGTATGAAGGATAGTTTGTTGTACGTGTATGAAGGATAGTTTGTTGTACGTGTATACAAGGTGACATTTTTTTTCTTTTTTACTTACTGGTAGCTATTTTTTTTCTAGCTTTTTTGTAGACTTGTTTTGATTTTACTTCAATAGCAGATGATAGTTAATGTGTTTGATTCTTTTCCTTTTTCATCTTTTGATGCCGTCAGTTGAAACATTGACTGACAGCGACCGCCACCAACTGACTGCTGATGGTGGGAGGTGGAGTGGGGTTTGGTTTTGTGTTTTTGTTGAGAATTGAATCACTTGAGATTGTTTACTTCTGGCTGTTCTGGTTGCTGTGATACAAACCAACAAACTTGGCAATATCTGGAGCAATGTAGTCGTAGCTGAAGAAAATGTTCTCTTTGTATTGAGAATGTGTACATCCAAAGATTTTTCTATCTATCCAGCATATATACCTTCCCTGTACTCCTCTTGTCTGTTGCTGTATGTGTGCAAAGCACTGTTTGTGTTTCTGTAATGTCGTCCTTTCTTCAACTTGTGAGCTACTTCCAAAGTGAAGTCTTCTGTGAACTATTTCTTAGAACTTTTCCACAAAGTTTGGTGGTAGCTGTCTTTGTATTGATTGGCTAGTCTGCCTGGGCGGGTTTACTAAACAGACGTAAAGTATGCCTGGGCGTGTTTACTAAACAGACGTAAAGTCTGCCTGGGAGTGTTTACAAAACAGACGTAAAGTCTGCCTGGGAGTGTTTACTAAACAGACGTAAAGTCTGCCTGGGAGTATTTACAAAACAGACGTAAAGTCTGCCTGGGAGTGTTTACAAAACAGACGTAAAGTCTGCCTGGGAGTGTTTACTAAACAGACGTAAAGTCTGCCTGGGAGTGTACTAAACAGACGTAAAGTCTGCCTGGGAGTGTTTACTAAACAGACGTAAAGTCTGCTGCATTTTTGGGTTTTGAGTCCTTGGTCCTGCAGTCCTGCAGCAACAGTGGCCGATTGATAGTGCTGTTTTGTGATAACGCTGAAAGTTCACAGTGGCCGATTGATAGTGCTGTTTTGTGATAACGCTGAAAGTTCACAGTGGCCAATTGATAGCGTTGTTTTGTGATAACGTTGAAAGTTCACCGTCAACGTCAGGAAATGACAGGATCGTAAGTTACTCGAGGTTTATGTGGCTACTTCCTGTCTTACAAAGTAGTACAATTTTTGTTCAAAAGATATCTTTTATTTTTTTCTCAAATATTTTTCCAGAGAAATTAAAAGAAAGAGATAACTTCCAGTAATTTCTGAACAATAGTTTTCTGCTCACAATTCAAGATGAAATGTCCACTTTTCTAGACAGCCCTGTCCAGTACCTCGGTTCTCAAATGTTTGCAGGGAATGTTTTCTGCTTTTTTTGTTTTGTTTTTTCCCCGATCAGTTCTGTCTCACAATTCGAACATGCTCACAAATAGAACAATTTGCCGTTGAGAGTGGGCGATGAAAGTTGGAAACGCGTACGGTTGGGCGGATGTCTGTTGAGGCGTCGTGTACCCATCCTGCGTTGTTTGTGGTTGATTCCCTCGACCAGAGGCAAAGATGTACCACTGATTTGGGAGTCGGATGCACAGTTCATTAATCTAATGTGATTGTCCTAGCTGCTTACTCTCTGTGGGTCGATTCTTGCCTCTGATCTGTCTCGCTGACAGCAGGGCCAGTCTCCTCCACTTTCTGTCCACAAAATAAATAAAAGTGTGCTACTAACTTAGAAACAACTCTTTTCTCTTGTCATTTCTTCTCATTCTTTGTTTTTTTCTCTTTACCTTTAAGTATTTTATCAAGCGTGAAACATGAGCCAGCTTGACAAGGACACAAGTAGCAGAATATAACCCCCCCCCCCCTGGAGGGTGCCACTGACTGAAGTGTCTTGGGCCATTCCCAAAGGGGGGATGTTAACATGTTCTTATGCGCTGTAGAATTGTAAATAGGCTGATTCATCAACGTCACGCTCATAACTGTGCCTGATCTACAACAGGGAACTGCTGTTTTTTCTTTCCTCATCCTTACTGTCGTCAATTTTCCTCTACTTCTTTTGTATGTTTGTCACATTCTTGTGACCCGCTATTTCCGGGCTTCCTTGAAAGTCGAAGCAGACTGTGCTGTTGAGGCTAGAGAGATGAGCAGAGTAAGTCTGATTCCCTGTAAGGACTTCTTTGTTGATATCCACCCCTTGGCGCTCATATGACTGAATGCAGTTGCGAGCGCTGTAAAACCTCTACTAAAACAAACAAAAGAACACACCTACTGACAATAAAAATAATGGTAATAATAATTATAATTTTTTGAGTGTGTATCCCGGCTCTGCAGCCTACTCTGTCTGGTTTACAACTCATCATGGTTAACATTTAATAATAATGATAAAAATGATAATGGTAATACTAATAGAAATAATATTAGATGACATTTGTAGAGCGCATATTAC